CTCTTCCTTCTCCCCTCACACTCCCTCCCATTCCTCCCCCTCCTCCTCCTCCTCCTCCCCCTCCCCTCCTCCTAAGCACCTAAGCAACACGTAATAACGCAAATAAAAAAAAAAAAAACACGAAACCATCTTCCTCTTATTGAATCGTTGGCCACTTAACGAGGACGTGATTTAGTCTCCAAACACGCCGTCGACTCCGCCACTTTATCGGCCGGCCGCCCTCGTAAATCCGCGGCGCACAGGATCCGAATGTTGGGGGGGGGGGGTGTTGTTGCTAAAGTGTACGAGTGGGGAGTTTGGGGGGAGGGAGAGGGAGTGGGTTTTTTGGGGGTTGGGTGGGTGGTGGTGTGGTTGAGGTGGTAAGGGGGGGGGGTTGGTTTGGTGGTAGAGGGTAAGTGGTGGTGGGGGTTTCTGGGTTGGGTTGTTGGTGGTAGGTGGTGGGGATTAGTGTTAGTTGTGGTTGTGGTGCTAACGTTGCCGAAGGGGTTGCGGTGGTGACTGTGTGTTGCAAGTGACGATGGTCGTGGTGGTAGAGGCGGTAAATGGTGGGGAACAGTGTTTTTTGGTTGTGGTTGTGGTTCTGGTGGTGGTGGTGATTGTGGTGCTCACGTTGCTGAAGGGGGTTGCACGCGACTGTGGTGTTGCAAGTGACGGTGGTGGTTAGTGGTCGTCGAGGAGGTGGCGTTGGGAGTCGTCGAAGGGGACGGAGAGCAGCCCAGGGTGAGGACCTCGCTCGCAGCAGCTGCCAGCGAGGGACGCATTCAATACGCCTCGCCGAGAAGGAGGAAACCGGATCTCCCGCTTGTACGTTTTTATATGAAGGCATTGGTTAGATTTGTCCCTTTTATTGGGGGGGGGGGGAGTGCACGGGACGGCGTCGCTCAGGGTGACTTGTGTTACGTAACAAGGATTCTTTTCATTACGCTTTCCCTCTGTGCGCGCTTGGGGTGGGGTGGGGGTGGGGAAGGTGTGGGGATGGAGGTGGGGTGGGGGTGAGGGAGTGGAGGAGGGGGGGGGTTATTCTCACTCTTCTGGGTTGTTTTTTTTGTGTTCGATTAGCTGGTTGGGTTTCGTTGAGGGGGGGGTGGGGTAGGTTGGCGATCTGTTTGGTTTGTTTTGATTGATATTTGGGGGTCTTTTTTTAATCTGGTTTCTTTTTCTCTTTTTATTTTATTCTGTGGAAGAATGGGGGAAGGAAGGGAGGAAGGAGGAAGGAAGAAGGCAGAAAGGGAGGGACGAAGGAGGAAGGGAGAAGGAAGGAAGGAAGGAGGAACGAAGGAGAAATGGAGGGAGAAGGAACGAGAAATGGAGGGAAAGACGAACGAGGAAAGGGAGGAAAGGAATGATGATGAGGATGAAGGAAGAATGAGGCGGCGCTGCAAGAAGACAACGTGGCCTGTGCAGGACGAGGCGACGCCGAGCCACTCGACACCTGCACGTGTTTCCCTCTCCTCGGCGGCGGCGAAGACCAGTGTGTTCAGTTGCATTTCGTTCAGCGTTCGGCAGCTTGACGTCGTTTCCTCAGTGGCCTCCCTCCTCCACGCCACCGCTGTCTGCTCTCTGCGGCGCCCTCCCTCCCTCCTCCGTCTCCTTTACTCTCTCCCTCTCTCTCCTCTCTCTCTCTTTCTGTCTCTCTTCTCTCTTCTCTCTCTTTCTCTCTCTCTCTCTCTCTCTCTCCTCCCTCTCTCCCTCTCCTCTCCTCCTTCCTCCTCCCTCCTTTCTCCCTTCCTCCTCTCCTTCCTCCCTTCCTCCTCTTCCTTTCCTCTCTCCCTCTCTGTATTCCGCTTCTCTTCTGTCTGCTCTTCGCTCCGGGTTTTTCGACGATCGGAATGGTGGTGGTGTTGGGATTTGGCGATGGCGGGTGTGGTTTAGAGTTTGTCGTCGTGTTGTTTGCTTTTTGTGGGTTTGGTGGGGGATCCCCTCTCCTTGTCGTCGTTGTTTGCTGGTCTTGTTTTATTGTTTGTTTGTTTTCGTTGTGGTTGCGTCAGCGTGTTGCGTGTCTTGTCCTGTCGGTCTTTTGAGGTACCGGAAGCGTCAGTGGTTGGTTGGGTATTTACTTGTTTGTTGTTTTTGTTTTTCTAGTGGTGAGAGTGAGGGAGAGAGAGAAAGAGAAGGAGAGAGGAGGAGAGAGAGAGGAGAGAGAGAGAGAGAGAGGAGAGAGAGAGGAGAAGGAGAGAGAGGAGGAGAAGAGGAGAGAGAGAAGGAGAAGGAGAGAGAGAAGGAAGAAGGAGAGAGAGAAGGAGACGAGAAGGAGAGGAGAGAAGAGAAGAAAGGAGAGAGAGAAGGAGAAGGAGAGTAGAGAAGGAGGAGATAGAGATGAGAGAATAGAGAGAGAGAGAGAGGAGGATGAGAGAGAGAGAGAAGAAGAGAGAGGAGAGAAAAAGAGAAGAGAGACGATGAGAGAGAGGAGGATAGAGAGAGAGAAGAGAGACGAGAGAGAGAGAGAGAGAAGGAGGAAGAGAGAGAGAGGAGAGAGAGAGAGAGAGAGAGGAGGAGAGAGAGAGAGAGAGAGAGAGAGAGAGAGAGGAGGAAGAAGAAGAGAGAGAGGAGAAAGAGAGAAGAGAGGAGAGAGGGAGAAGAGGGAGAGAAAGGGATAGGAGAGGAGAGAGGGGAAAGAGAGAGGAGAGAGAGAAAGGAGGAAGGAAAGGGAGAGAGAGCGAGAGAGAGAAGAGAGGGGGGAGGAAGTCCAGCATAAATAGCATGAGTCTCTATAGCTTCACAGAACTGTCCACGCAACTCCTTCATGTAAATATTTAGTTGTCCCGGTTGTCGTAACCAGGGAGGGAGGGGGGGAGGGTAATGGAGGGGGGGAGGGGGAAGATGAAGACACAGAAGAATCCTTGAGGTGCCATGAGGTGCCACTTGTGCAAATAAAACCACGGAAATTTTTTACAGCATGGGAAGAGCCAGTAAAGATGGATAACGCAAGGGATAACAAATGTTGCATTGGGAAAAAAATGTGCATGCGAGTACTCGGGTCTCTTTGTCTGTCTGTCTGTCTGTCTCCCCCCCTCTCTCTCCCTCACTCCCTCGCCTCCCTTTCTCTCCCTCTTCCCACTGTTCTTCCTTTCTCTCCCTATCGTATGGGAAACAAAGCATAGAGACGAGAGAAATAACTTCAAAATTATCACAGACCAAAACACATTTAAGCCAGAAGAAAAAAAAAACGAAAAAGAAAAAAAATATATATGGTTTTAGTCCTACAAAGACAAAAGACGAGAGAGCGAGGAGTCTTCATTATGAAATAAGATTTCCGAGAGTATTTTTTTTCGCAATCCTTAGGGCGTAAGACTCGGGCAGAGAAAGTGGCAAGCAGGGGCTGTGTTGCACGTTGCAGGGGTTGAAACAAGTGCTTTCTTATTGCAAAGTGGTTGTTTGTACTTGTATTGTCTATCGTTATTATTATGATGTTTTTTTCTTGTTTGTCTGTCGTTATTATTTTTATGGTGTTTTCTTGTAGGCCTATACGTTAGGGTAAAAATGTAGGGAGGGGTAACTTTTTTATTTTCTCTCCCCTCACCCCCTCCCGTTCTCGTCTCTCTCGTTCCATCATTTCTTCTGTCTTTCACTTTTCTTCCCTTCTCCCTTCTTATATCTTCTCGTTTCCTCTTATCCTCGACTCACTCTTTTTTTTATCCATACCTCTCGTTGCATTTCTTTTTCTTCTCTCCCTGTTGCCTCTTTTATTTCCTTTTCTATCTTTTGTTTTTTTCCCTTTTTTCTTCTCTTTGCTCTTCTCTCTTTGCCACTTCTCTCTCCTCCTCTCCTTGCCTCTTCTCTCCCTCTCTCCCCTTTGCTTTTCTCCTCTCCTCCCCTTCTTGCCTCTCCTCTCCTCCCCTTCTTGCCTCCTCTCTCCTCCCTCTTGCCTCCCTCTCTCCTCCCCCCCTCCTCCTCCCTCTCCTCTCCTCTCTTCTCTTCTCTTCTCCTCTCCTCCTCCCCTCTCCTCCCCTTTTCCTTTTTTTTTCTCCCCACCCCCGTACCTGCAGTCCACGTAGCAGAGAGCGTGGCAGTGACTTACCCCGAGGGGAAAAAATTATCTCATGGCATTCCAATGTTTTTTTTCCTCCTTTCGCTAACTACCAATTTATCTCGCCGCTGTCATGGGGTGACTAGACTAAATAAATACGATTATGAATGAGGGAAAAAATTGATGGTTAAGTGTGGGGGGAGTGTAATGCGAGACCGAATATGTCATTTTTCTCGCCTGCAAGATAACGGTTTCGTGTAGGTCTGTTGGGGTCAGTATGTCTGTTGAATATGTTGACTTTTGACTCTTGTTGAACTTGTTGAAGTGATGCGAAGGTTTCTGATACCTTCGAAAGATTTTTTTTTGCGAAGAATTGTGATCAGGTTGTATATATGTATATGTCTTGGTTCCTTGGCGGTATTTACTGATTGCTATTCAGTTTATTTATGCCATATCTGTAGTGTCAAAAAACAGCTGCAGAACGTGTTTCCAGTGTCCTATCACTTACCACGTTTTACACAATGTCTGTATAAGAACTTATGTAGACCTTGGTTCTACACTGTTATTAAAACCGATACGAATCAGGTCGTCTACCCCCCCCCCCCCAGACCTAACGATCTTCGATACTCAAGAGCCTCTACACACACCTACACATTAACCTTGATCCCGTCAATATCTGACCACTCCCTCCCTTTCCCCACCCTATCCCTCACCCCCCATGACCCCATCCCTAACTGACCTCAACCTCCAGATGACCCCATCCCTGACCGACCGCAGCCTCCCGATGACCCCATCCCTAACTTGACCTTAGCCTCCAGATGATCCCATCCCTAACTTGACCTCAGCCTCCAGACGACCTCCATCCCTAACCGACCTCAGCCTCCAGATGACCTCCATCCCTAACCGACCTCAGCTTAAAGATGACCCCATCCCTAACTTGACCTCAGCCTCCAGATGACCCCATCCCTAACCGACCGCAGCCTCCAGATGACCTCCATCCACATCTGACCTCTCTCTCCTCTTCCTCCGACAGAGTTGCGGTCGCAGCTGAACGAGCAGCTGCGGGCGTTGGACGGGCGGGTGGACACGCAGACGGCGCTGGTGGCGGAGCTGCAGGACTGGTTCCGGCGGAGGGCGGAGCTGCACCAGGACTACGCCGCCAAGCTCGACAAGCTCGCCAAGTCGCTGCAGGCCAGGCACAAGGAGCAGCGTATCAAGTCAGTGCTCGAGTTTTTTTTTTTTTTTTTAGTTAATTCATCATCATAGCCTTTGTCGTCATTGTCATCTTTGTTGTTATCATTATCATCATCATTGTCACCATCAATCATAATCATCACTATCATTATCAGTCGACATTAGTATTATTCAATCATCATTATCATCATCATCAGTTATATTCAATCACCATCATCATCAGTCATCATCATCATCATCATCATCATCATCATCATCAATCATCATCATCATCATCATCATCATCATCATCATCATCATCATCATCATCATCATCATCATCATCATCATCAATCTTCGTCATCATCATCATCATAATTGTAGTAGTAGGAGAGGATATATGATCTGCTCTCGTCATTGCCATTTGTCCCTAACACCCAGAAAAAAGCCACATTCTTTAAGATCGATTTCCTCAGCCTAAGTTTGCTTCATTGTGTCTTGATTAAAAATGACTAAGTGCCATTGTATTGAAGTTTTTCCTATGGCTATCTGGAGCCAGTCCCTGCATCCCTCATGCGTTTAAAGAATGTTTAAAGAGAAGATGAAACAAAGGTTCCTCACCCCATATCTGATAACAGAAGGAAGTCCATATTTTTTTTTCTCTTTTTAGATGAAAATCTGTTCAGATAAAACTGCATTAGTCATGTTGTTTGGACTGCAAATAGGGCCTCATTTACAGTAAGAGAGCTGTTGTATGTATATTCATTTGTTGATCGTGAAGCGAACCCTTTCACGGTTGATTCATGGACAGTTTGAAAGCATGCATTCAGTGCGGCTCTATAAAGCTCCGCAGTGTGAAAACAGATTTTGACATGTGATTTCAGCATACATTCCTTAGATTTTATCATTCGATATTTATTTATTAGTGATGTAGGAGTCAGTTTCTGGAAATGTTTAAATTAATTTATGGATGTAGTTCAGTCAGTTGCATTTAGGTTATAGAATTAGTTTTATTTATGAAATTTCTTAATATCATGTTTTAGGTATTGAATGTTTCACTTGATACTTGTATTTGGTACATTCACTCAAAAACTTACGTAATGAAATGCAGAGGTGAAGCATCTCTTAACAACTGTGGACATACATAAGCAGTTAGCGAACATATTCTTTTATTTTCAGGCGTGAACAGCTGCAGTTGTTCAGTGTGTACAGTTGTTGGAATTCTCTAGTAAACCAAACGAGAAAAGATGCGCGGGACCAGGCGGCCATGGCTGATGTCTACCTCAACAACATCATTCCACGATTTACACAAGTGCAGGATGACTTGCAGAGAATCTACAAAAGGGTATGTGTTCATTTATTGATATTTTATGATTCATTTATCATTATTATTGTATTTTGATTAGTTGACCAAAATGGATTATGTACGTGTTACATTTATACCTTCAAGACACAACCTTATTTCATACCTTTTTCTTATCTTTTTTCTTGCTTACAGTGTCGAGAGATTGGTTACGAGAGCCATGAAGAACTGCTTAAAGTACTGCATGAGTTGCACACCACCATGCGCACCTACCACACCTACCAGACAGAGTTCAAGAATGCTGAGACCAAGCTGAGGAACTTCGAAGCCCAGAGGACCAAGCTGGAACAGGCCATCCCCAAGGAGAAGCTGGAAAAGAGCAAGAAGTTCCGCATGATCGAGAAGGAGATCCAGAAGGTAAAATGTTGCTCTGCGTATGTTTTTATTGTATGTTAATTATATATCTTTTTTAGTTCTGTATCTTGCTGAACAATTTTATGTATTGTTTGTTCTACTGGAGTTCAGAATGCCTTGAGGATGCTCATATTTTCCTTTTTTTTTTTATTTGATTAACTCCTAAAATTGCCATGGTTAATTTTTTTTTTATGATTATAGAAGAAAAGCAGCTTTCATGCAAATTCAATTAACTATGTAGAAAAGCTGAAAGCCCTTCAAGTATAAGGAGTAAAATCTTAATGTGTGTTTAATTGCACTTTCAGAGAAGCAACAAATACATGGATGCTAAGCTGAAGGCGCTGAAAGCCCGCAATGAGTACATCCTTTCCATGGACTCTGCTAATGCTGCCATCCATAAGTACTTTGTAGAGGACTTATCAGATATTGTTGATGTGAGTGTTTGGAAATCTCTTTTTCCTGTTGTAATTTTTTTGATAATATTTTTTTTGCAAGGTTAATGATACTGTATGATATGATTTTTTTTTTTTTTTTTGATGGTTCTTTGTGAGCTTAATTGATTCTTTGTGGATACTTATTTTCTGAACTTTGTCACCTCTTGCAAGGTTTGGTTTTGATGCTACTTTTCTTTTCCAGTGTATGGACTTCGGATTTCACAGTAGCATAGCCCGCGCTCTCCTCACACACGTGTCCGGACAAGAATGTGTCAGGAGGAGCTTGCAGAGTGGTATTGACGAGTTGAACAAGACTATCAACAACCTCGATTCTCGCCTAGACAAGCAGAGATTCCTAGAGCAAAACAATGCAGCCTTCATGCTCCCTAAGAAGTTCGAGTTCCAAGGCCATAAGGGAGATGAGGTGAGTGAGAGACCGTTAACCCCTCATGGTGGTCAGACTCGTAATGGGAAACTTGCTAGATTTGAATCCAAGTATGTTCTTTTACACTCACATTCATTCCAATTGTCCTTTGCATACATGTGGATGACGAGAGTATTAATCTGATGATGTTCCTTTCAAGACTTCTTTATCAATTTTGTGTCCTTCTTATTTGTTCAGCTCTTTTGTTTTAGTAGATTCTTTTCTGCATGAGAAATAGGTGAACCTCACCTTCCCCCTTCCCAAATTGAGGTATAGGTCAGGCACTTACAAGGTTTTCTTTCCAGACTCACGATGATGCCAACGCGAAACAGGTGAATCAGGTAGTAGTTAATCGGCAAGTGCAAGAGGAGATGGAGAAACGGTATGCGCACCTAGTCTCGAGACTGACAAGCCTCAAAACGGAATCGGAGGAAACGTGGAAGACCATCGAAACTGCTGAAAAGACGCTGATGGAGATGATCAACCAGAGGGACTATGACTGTGCGCACTACTTCATTGACGAACCTCGTGCAGATAACAAGCAACCTGAGTCTATGCTGATTAAAATGAAAGCAGACAGACAAGAAACGGAAGATTTCTACTTAGGGGTAAAGAAGATGATTTACACTTTTCTTGTATGTCTTATATTTATATCTATAGAAAGTTTGAAATATCAGTATGTGGGTATAAAATAAGACAGCTATTACAAAAGGTTATAAGTTTATAATCAAATTTCCAGAAATTCCGTGAGTATGTCTTAGGAGGTAACCTGATAACCCGACTACAAGCACGTTATGAGTTAATGCGCAAGGCTTTAGGAGATGAAACTCACACTACTTCTTCACCCACTCCAACAAGGTAAATAGAAATTAATGTCTTTTATGATGTCAGCCAATCACAGAGATTATTTAGATTTGGATATGAAGATGCTTGCAAGAATGTTTATGAATAATTCAGTTAAATGTAGATTGAGAGTAAAAGAATTAATATTTTCAACAGGAACCTAGTTAACAAACCACGCCGAAGGCGAATTGGGCGAAACCCACTGATGGGCCAACCCAAGCTGTTTGGTGGATCATTAGAGGAGTACCTGGAGGCAACAAGTCAAGATATTCCATTAATAATGAAGTCTTGTATCAGAGTCATCAATCTCTATGGTAAGTGTTTTTAAGAGCAACTATATAAGCATTATGGATTGTTTATTTTTCTGGTCAGAGGTCAGAATTGTTTATTTTGTGATGCCATTTAAAACTGTGTCAAACATACTTAGCTACAGTTTTATGGACCAGATCACTATTAACAAGAACAAATACAAGATAGTTTTGTATATTGGAAATGTTTATAGATATGTACCCAATTGCAGTATGTTTTACCATGTAGTTTGCACAGATACTTACATCCTATGTTGCAGGGTTGCACCACCAGGGAATCTTCCGAGTGTCAGGGTCGCAGCTGGAAATCAACAACTTCCGTGAGTCATTTGAGAGAATGGAAGACCCACTGGCAGATGTTACTGATGCGTCTGACATCAACAGTGTTGCTGGTGTCCTTAAGTTGTACTTGCGGGAACTCAGAGAACCGCTCTTCCCTACTGTCTTCTTTGACCAGTTCATGGAGATTGCTCGTGAGTAGTTAGATTGCTGTTCACTTATTTGTGTAGTTTTTTATTTTTGTTTAGGGTGTTTATATTCCAAGATATATTTGAAATTTGATGTGGTATCCTCATTAGACCAGTAAACATTATTACTAGTTATTAATATTTACAAGAATGTTTGATTACCCTCTGGCTTTGTTTACAGAGTTGGAGAAAAAGCATGACTTCGTTGTTAAGATGAGAGATGTTGTGACCAGTCTTCCTCGGCCAGTCTTCATTGTCATGCGCTACCTCTTTGCATTCCTTAATCAGTGAGTGGAGGGACTTTGTGTGGATGAAAAGAAGATCTGGTGATATAAGATATAGGGACATGACTGCATATCATTGCAGCTTATTTTTATATTGCAAAACCTTCATTTGATACATATTTATGCATTTATCTTGGAGCAGTCGTCAAGAAGTTAGCTAAAAGCAAGAGTATTTTGAGCATTGTTCACTAGTGTTTATTTACTCTTGTAAGATAACTGGAAATTTTATTTTCTTATTTTAATTTCAGCTTGTCGGAATTTAGTGATGAGAATATGATGGATCCCTATAACTTGGCTATATGTTTTGGACCCACATTGGTGCCAATACCTGAAGACAAGGACCAGGTAAGTAGATGCTTCAAAAATTAGTTCATCTTAAAACCTGATTAGAAGTATATATGTAGGATTGACTGAGAATGAAAAATTGATTCTCAAGCATGAACTAACTGTGTCTTTAAATTTACTTCATTGTGATTAATTATTTTGACCTTTTTACTTAACAGGAAGTTAGACTAATGAACTTTATCAAATTTCTGAAAGTTCAGGCATTAATAAAAAATGTGATCCTTCCAGGTGCAGTACCAGAACTTAGTCAACGAATTGATCAAGAACATCATCATCTTCAGTGAGGACATCTTCCCAGGTGATGGAGGCCACACGTATGAGAAGTTCATCTCACGGGACTCAATAGATTTAGATGCTGACATGGGTGACGCGCCCTCAGAAGCTCACGATGACGTAGACTCAGAACAAGGACAGTCTGAAGATGGTAAGTGTTGCAGTAGGGAAATAGGTCAATCTGTCTGTCTGTTTGTCCTGTATGATGAGGATGATGGACAGTGATCAACTTGAAGTCTTGTGATGAATGTTTTAACTTAGCTTATTTGTTTTCTCTTTCTTTTGAGAGAGAGAGACATTAATCCATGTGTTGTTTTTTTAAGTTCAGTAGCTTGGTTATATGGTTAGCCTCACTGTGCCTGCTTTTTCCTTATTGGATGCGGTTTCTTTCCACAAGCTTTTTGGTTTATCAATGTGCCATTTAATTTTTTTGCACCATTTTTAATGACTTCCCCTTAAATATCAAAGAAAATAAAGAAGAAGTCATTTCAGAATAATTGCGTAAGTCATGTATTTATTCATTTTCTGAAAAGCATGCCTTTCAAAGTCTATTGTTTAAAAGTAAAACATATATTTGATTAATTAATTTTTTTATAATAAACCTGTAAGCACGCACCTGTTTTCCTAAGAAGCATCAGTTATCCAGCGATACTCAGTATATAAACTTGTCCAGGAGTCAAATCCAGGAACTAAACCATAAGAAACTACATTCATAAGATAGTATAATAATACTACAATGCTTTAGATGTGTGTTTGATGTTCTTTTGGACATATACCATAGCAAATAATTAAAGAACTTCTTTTTAACAAAGAAGTGAATTTATTGTTTTGTAGTTCTTATTCATATTATGTTACTAATTACAGACAGATCAGTGTAGCAGTATCTTTATCATAATTCTGTTTAGTAGTGTAGCAGAATGATAATCATTAGTTATTAATGATGTATCTTACCTGTTGGTTAAAGATTAAAGCTTGGTGTTATGTCAGGATGAAAGTGACCTTTTTGCTGCGGTACTTTTGGAGATGATTTGCGATTGAGATTTGTATCCTAGTGATGAACCATATTCATGTTGATAAATGTGAAAAGGTATGAATGGGAAAAAATATCTTGATAATACAAGAGATGTATTTAACTGGTTTGGAATATATCTTTGTCAGGAATACATGAAATACATGTATATCAGATGAAGATACATTTGAAACTGGTCAAACACATCCCGTATATTGTCAAGATATTTGTTCTCATTCCTACCTTTTCTTCATTGTATTCTTGCATTGCATCTCTAATTCCCAATTCCTGTATTACCCTGAAATACCAAAATGACACCCTTACCTCATGATTATTGTTGTGGCTTTTTGTTTTCTGCTTTTTTTTTCCAGTAAGTCACATAGCTTAAAAAAAAGAAGAATGAATGCCACTGTTTTTGAATGAGTAAATGCACCCTTTCTAGGATTTTTTAAATGATAATTGTTATTATTGATTCATAACCACTGAAGCTTTCTTAAAAAACACCTTGTGTTTGTTTGCATGTGCCTTTATTGTATCCTTGGTTTATCCTTACAGATTCTGTATTTAGAGACAAAGACATTCAACTTCAGATATTTGGAAGTAAGTTTTTTTGTGTGTGATATTTTTTGTCTTTACTGTTGCCCACAAAATTGTAATGTAGAGATATTTTGTGATTTATTTAAGTGATATTCCTGTTTAGGATAGATAAAATTTTTGTCATCCAGGTAGAAATTTGAACTTCTGTAGGAACTTTAACTTTTTGAACTTATGATATAAAAAAGAAAAAGAAAGTCACTTAGATGAGATTAGAAAAGTATGTCTTTAGAAATTTGCTATTTAGGTCATCTTTTATTTTTCATAAAAATGCACAAATAGTTTTGTAATTTTCATTTCTTATTCTCTCTTTCTGCAGAGAGCGAGATTTTAGAAGCTATAGCACAGTTTGACTTCTTGGCGCGGTCAGAACGTGAACTGAGCTTCTGTAAGGGAGATGTGTTGATGCTCCACTCGCAGGTGTCTGGTGACTGGTGGAAAGGGTCATTTCAGGGTAAACACGGCCTTATCCCAGACAAGTACATTCTGCTGAAGATCAGGTGCGAATAGAGAAGGGATCTTATGTCCTTACCCCTTTTATTAGAGTTGAAAGGAATGATTATTATTTTCTTTTATACATTTTTGTGAATTGGAAATATTATATTCATATTTGTTTTAGTCTTAGTTTAGTTTAGTGTAGCCTTTACAGCAAAGGAGGATTTAGCACATTGCAAAAACATTTATCTTAAAATGAACTCTACAGAGATGAAGATAAAGATCGTCTGAGTGAGAGAAGTGCTGCGGAGATGCTGCGGAGACGTGTTTCCTCATCCTCAGAGTCCATTCTTTCCTCGTCGACTCAGCAGTCCTCAGAAGGAGTAATTAAACCAAGTGCACAGAATGGAGCAGCACAAGCACCACTCTCTCCATCTCCTGCATCAGCACAGAGTCAAGTAAGTAGATCTGCAAAGAAACATTCCATTGTTCTTTGCCTCAGATACACACTTAAAAATGATTATGGTGATGAGAGTAGAACACGGAACACTATACTCATTTTGTATGTGTTGCAAGTGTACATTTTTTTTGTTTTTTGTATTTTTGCTGAACTTAATGCTGGAAAATTACTTCATATTTGCTTATTTATATACAAGACAAAAGTACACTGCTTAAGCTTGGAAATTACTAAGATTTGTAAGCATGCTTGCAATATTATTTATTTTACCCACTTATCAAAAGATACTTTTTTTACATATAAAGAAACAAACAAAAGAAATAAGATGTTGAAAGTGTAGTAGAATGGCAAGAACACACTGTAGTATGGCGTTTGAATGTGTACTGGAGAGGTAGTAAGCCTAGGCAAGTTCTGGTTCTTGTAGCCTTTGTACATTGATAAGGATTTTCATACACCTCCTACCAAGCTTCAATCCTTGAGGAATGTCTTCTGTCTCTGTCCCACTATTATTTGATGTGAAAACTCTCCTTCTAACGGTGATTTGGCTGTGGTATGTGCTACTTCTCCTCTTGACGTCTCTCTCTGGTTCTTTTGGCTTCTACTACTTTTGATTCTGTGCTCACTCTCTGGATTTGGTTGTTCTTTTCTCCGGGAGCTGAAACTCTTCCCTCATGGTGGCTTTTTATTTTCACTTGTGTTTCTCCTGCGGCCAAATGTACTCACTACGGCACTTTTGTTGGGCCCATACATTTCGTATTAAAAAAAAAAAAAAAAATCCGCACTCTCTAAATTTTACTGTTGTGAATTCCTTATCTGTGACCCTAAGCTCGTTCATGAAACTTCCTTTACCTGTTTTGTTTGTTTGTTCTTTTATTTTTAATATTAATTTATTTTTCAATTGCCAGAACTTAGAATAAGTGGTTGATTTACAACAATCAGTGGTAGGAAGATGAAAGCTGAGTGGAAGTATGAAAAGTTTGATATTATTTTGGATAAGTGGTAAATGATACTATTTTCTACAAGAAAGACTGAATTTTTTAAAGAATATTAATCATTGTTAATAACAGGGTGAAAAATTAAAGGAAAATATATAAATTTATATGATATACATTCTACTGTTAGAGAAATCTAAATTTGTTTTCTTAAATGTCATCCTGAAGAAGATATTGATATTGAAAATGAGATGAAAAGAAAAAATTTGTTATGATCTTTTATCTTGTATACAATACTTGTGGAGAAGATAAAGGTATAGAAAAAGAGGGAGGAATAAAGAAATAAAGAAGGGAGGGGTGGAGAAGGAGAAGGAAGAGATGCAGAAGGAGGGAGAGGAGGAGAAGGAGGATGGAGGGAAACCTTCTGACCTATAATTACTGCCCCAGGAGTCGTGCGCGAGCCCCGTGAGTCGCGACGGCCAAGGAGGCACCTCTTCCTCGCAAGGGCTCGACTCGGGCGGGGGACCAGAAGGGGCACAAGCAGACGGGGGACGCTCAGCCTCACCGCTGCCTACCACTCCAGGGCAGGCCCACTCCACCCACCCACACCCCTTCAACGGGGCTTGTCTCTCCCTCTCAGATGTGTCAAGTGTCGTGTCTGTCCAGGAGGAG